AAGAAACACTGAGGGCGTTCAATAGAACAGCAAGGGGAGCAGAGCAATGAAATTCTCAGGGAATACCAAAAATAGACTGTGGGGCCAGGGCATGGCACCCCATCAGACTCGACTGGAAAATACTGGTAAAGGTCAACAACCAGACCTTGAACTACATAGGCTTTTTTTTTTGGTCGTTGGTTTTTGTTGTTTTCTTTTGTTGCTTTGCTTTGCTCTGTCTTGTTTTTTGTGCATATTATTATCTCAGCATGTCTATCTTGGTAAGATAGGTGGGATAAACAATCCAGAGGAGAAAACAATGAGACTGATGGTTTCAGGGGAGTGGGGCAGGAAGACATGGGAGAAGAAGAGGTGGTAGAAAGGAAGCAGGAGGTTAACCAACCCAGGGACACAGGAACAACAAGTGAACTAAAATCGATGAAGAGAAGGGCATAGGATGCCTAGTGGAGCTTAATCAAGGGCAATGTAACAGCAAGGAATTATTGAAACCCGAATGAAGGCTGAACATAGTAGTGGAAAAAGAGGAAAGTAAAAGGAAATAGAGGAAGGAAAGAACTAGGGAGTAAAGAACATTTATAGAGATCTAAATACAGGCATGTATATGTGTAAATATATTTATATATAACAGGGAAATAGCTCTATGTACTTATATGTTAAGTATTAAGGTAGCAGATGGACATTGGGTCCCAACTCAATTACTCCCGCAACGCAAGAACACTTTGTTCTAGTAATCCAGCATTCTGTGACACTCACCTTCCCGACATCATAGCCCAAGACAAAATGGGTGCATAAGCAAATGTGGTAAAGAAAGCTGATGGTGCTTGGCTGTCAAAAGATAGTGTTTGCGTCATAAAGGCTTGAAGATAAATAAGTGGCCATGTAGCTGAGAAGCAACAAAGCTCACATGGAAGAAGCACACCAGCCTGTGTGATCATGAGGTGCCGATGGGATCAGGCATCAAAGACCCATAGCACAAAACCGTATCATTGAATAAGAGGGAGTGCAGAGTGGAGACCCAAAGTGCATCTGTAGACAATGGTATATCCCCTTACAGAAGGGTCACAAGGAAGAGATGAGCCAGTCAGGGTGCAGTATAGCACCAATGAAACATACAACTTTCATTTACCTCTTCAATGCTTCCTGCCCCCCACTATCATGATCCCAATTCCACCTTACAAATCTGGCTAGACCAGAACATGTACATTGGCAGTGGCCAATAATCAGGACAAGCTGGCCTTCGAGAATGGGTCTGTTCTGAAGCAGTTTCTTTCTGAGACAGAGAAAATGTCCCCGGAAGACAGAGCAAAGTGCTTTGAAAAGAACGAGGCCATCCAGGCGGCCCACGATGCCGTGGCACAGGAAGGTCAGTGCCGGGTAGATGACAAAGTGAACTTCCACTTCATCCTGTTCAACAACGTGGAGGGCCACCTCTATGAACTTGATGGACGAATGCCTTTTCCCGTGAACCACGGCTCCAGTTCAGAGGACTCCCTGCTGCAGGATGCTGCCAAGGTCTGCAGAGAATTCACTGAGCTTGAGCAAGGGGAGGTCCGCTTCTCGGCTGTGGCCCTCTGCAAGGCAGCCTAATGCCCTCTCGCTGTCTGCGTGAAAATGCGTACCCCTCCCTGCAGTCGAAATTGCTTCCGTCCTTGTCAAGCAGCTGTTGTCCTTTTCCGTTCTGTAGAAGCGCACTTCCCCTCAGCCATGTACATGGGTACAGTTAAGAGCTGGAAACACGGAATCCTGGACATATAAACCCCTCAGGACCAATATTGAGAGTAGCCATACCATGTGGGGAAGGGGAAGGTAGGGGTAGAAGGGGGAACCAATCACAAGGATCTACCTACAACAGAAAAGTAGGTAAAGGGAGACATTGGTCAGTGTAAGACATGCATATATAAATAATAATTTGTAAATTATCAAGGGTTCCTGAGGGAGAGAGGGTGGGGAAGGGAGGGGAAAAATGAGCTGATACTAAGGGCTCAAGTAGAAAATATTTTGAAAATGATGATGGCAACATATGTACAGGTGTGTTTGACACAATGGATGGATATATCAATTGTGATAAGCGTTGTACGAGCCCCCAATAAAATGATTTATTAAAATTAAAAAAATTAAACATTAAGTTAGTCTCAATGATCAATCTAATTGTAAAATACAAAACAAAATACTGGCAAATAGAACCCAACAGTATATCAAAATTATAAGATAAAGCTAGTCTAGGTTTTCAAGAATGATTTGATCTTAGGAAATATATTAATATTTACACTAAGTATTATTAAAAGAGGAGGATAACAGGATTGTCTCAAATGGTTTTTTAAAAGTATTAAAATCCAGTAGTCATTTCTGATAGACCAGGCTTAGGAAAAGAAGGGAACTTCCTTTGATAGGATAAGTATATCTAAATATATAATAAACCCAGTTGGTGAACTATTTTCCTTGAAAGAATAATACTAAGGTATTTTTTATTTTAGTTGTGGTTTTGGTGAGAGTTTACAGAGCAAATGGGTTTTCCATTCAACAATCTACACATTTTTATTTTATCGCATTGATCGCTATCTTCACAATGTAGGAATCCTTTTCCTTTTCCAATCTTTTTTTCCTTTCAATTCCTGTTTTCCGAGTTTTATCCCTGGACAGATGCTTCCCTATTAATCTTTATAGTTGATTGATCTGAGGACTGCATACTTCTCTAGTGTTTATTGTTTTCCTATTGCCTTATCTTTTGGCTGAAAGTTGAGCCTCCAAGGGTGTATTTCAGTTCTCGGCCTGAAGGGGTCTAAAGGCCGTAATATCAGGAGTTTGATCAATCTCTAACAGATAGACTGTTGAATGATTTTTGTTGAATGATTTTTGAGTGTCATTCCACATTTTTCTTCCACCCTTTCCAGAAGGTCCCACTGTGATTTTTAGAGTAGTCAGCAGTGGTAGCCAGTCACCATCGATTTGTAGTCTCACGGAAGCTGGGCTTGACATGATCTGTTAATCCTTTTGACTAGTTGCTGTGTGCCTTTGATTTTCTTCACTCATCTTTGCGCTGGATAGAGAGAGACCAATAGTTGCTTCTTACATGACTGCCTAGAACCTTCTAAGCACTTACTTGTTAAACCTAGTTATACTACACTCTCAAACTAGGATATAGAACGTGATCCTTGTGTGCGGTTGGACCAGTTGACCTTGGTGTCCTCTGAGATTGTGGTCCTCAGCCTCAGGAGCAGTGATTCATTTTCTTAAGGTGTTTGGTTACGGTGATGAAGTTTTCACAACTTTGCTCTTTTTTCATGCTATAATATAAGTGGCTTCAAAAAGTTTATTGACACCTACTGTGAATCATAATTCCCATTTCCACAGACTTGAAAGTTTCTACATACTTGCAGTGTATATAAACACACTGCTATGTATTCATCGATATAGTCACATTTGCCTTCCCACCTCTGTTCAGCTTGAGTGTATATTCGCTTGTTGACTATTATTATGACAGGATTGTGTATGCTATAATATTTACCTTTGTGTTTTTTTTTCATTGTTCTCTTGCCAGTGTTGTCTTCTGCCTTGGTTACTTTTGTGCTGACCTCCTCTTAATTGTGTATTCTTTTTTCTTTCACCCAGGCTAATAAATGTCTACCTTCTAGTGAGTGATTTATCCTTATTTCCCCTTTCACCCCGGTAAACCAGAGAATATTATTATCTCTGAGTTAACCTTTTCCTGATTTTTTATAGGTTTCATGTAATATTTGTCCATTTGTGACTAATTTTATTTAGTATGATGTCTTCTAGGTTCATACATGTTAGGAGTTGTTTTGCACATTTGTCATTATTTAATATTGTGTAGTATTCTGTTGTGCGTGTGTACCATAATTTGTTTTATCCATTCATCCCATCAAAGGGCATTTAGGTTATTTTCATCCTTTTGTTATCGTGAGTAGTGCTCTGATGAACATGGGTGTGATGACTCCTATACAAGTAACAACTTTTATTTTTATTTTTCTTAATTTTGTTTAATAAATTTTTCTTTGATTTTGTAGAAATTTTTTTTTACCTAACTTTGTATTATGAACAATAAAGCTATTGACAAATTTCCATGGACTACCTAGATTTTCTGAAATATTAATAACATTTTAGCTATCTATATCTTTTTTTAATCATTTTTATTAGGGGCTCATACAACTCTTATCACAATCCATACATACATCAATTGTGTAAAG